TTTTCTCAAGGACAACTTTATAAAAGAATAATCAGAGCATGCTTCACTCTTGTGAGTACTGTCCCTCATGTGACTTGTGTGCAGTTTTATACGCTTTTTTCACCTGACCTGCATGGTTTAGTTATATTATTGACTAAATTATACATTTAGTGTTCAGTGTTCACACTAAACACGCTTTGAAGAGACAACCTGGGAGTTTTGGGTAAAAATTCTGTATTTTGATAGTAATGTGTTTTATGGCCATAAACATGATATACAGCATTCATCATGATAATAATGCATACATTTTATATAGCGCTTTTTTGGACAGTCATTCTAGGCAATGTGGGTAAAGTGTCTTGCCTAGAGCAGTTTGCCACTTTACCGCCGCAGCCGCAGCCGCCCCACTATAGCACCTGGTGTTCCCAGAGGTCTCCCATCACCGTACTAACCAGGCCCTGCCCTGCTTAGCTTCAGAGCTCTGACGGGATCTGATTGACTGGTTTGATGAAGATTTTTTTTGGACTTTCTTACAATTCTTCCTTGATTATTGGGCACTTCCCACTCCTTCTTTACATTGATCATAGTCACTGTTTTCATAATAAGCAGCACATATGTAAAATTTTACACATTTACCTCCATGTGCATATCAAAAATGAATTATAGTCATTTATTGCTCTTCTCATGGCTATAAATGAGTCGGTCTGGCCGTCACTTGGACAGTCTCTTCTTGCCGCTTGAGGGGAAGCCTGCGGTTAGTGTTGGTGACTATACATTTCTTAAACCGCTGCTGAGTTGATGGTCGGGCATGTGAGGAATCTGTGTTCGGGACACAGCCGGAGCAGCTGGGAGAGCAGGAGAGGAGGGCAGCCCTACACTCAAGACACCTGTCTTGGGTGAAAGGCGCCACTATAGCCCCAAACAGGTGCCGGACGACCAGCCTAAGCCCCTCACTCATAACACACTCGCTGCATTTAAGCCATTTATCCACAGGGCCTCATCAGTGTTAAGGTCAGTGTGCAGTTGTCCGCTTCTTTTCCGCTCTTTTCACTGCAGCGCTTCCTTGCCAAGACGCGTCCATGCCCCTTCCTCTGTACTGTTTACTGTGGTGGTCCTTCAACCCAGGCGTCTCAATGCTTTTGCCCACACAGTCCCTTGTGTTGTGTTTTGTAGGCTTTATGTGCAGCTTGTCTTAAGATATGTCAACACAAAGTAATGTTGTGAAGGCTTCGCAGCACAGAACGCCTATTGATCTTGGTAAAGGAGAGTGGAGGCCAGGGGGAAGCGCTCGTGTCAGGTGCACAACAAGATGCCTCAGACTTTCCATGCTGCGTTGGCCCACTATGGAGTAATTTACATCATTAATCATTGTTTCTTTGTTTCATTTTGACCATTCCATATAATTAGGGATGGTAAGATGATTCGCCTAATTAATACGTTATAGTGGTTATTAGGTCACACTACTAATCCAAAGAGGGGATGTGTAATCTTGTAATCGCGATGTAGAAAACAGTTCTGTCATATTAAAGCTGGGGTACCTAACTTTAAAACTACACTTTGTAAATTCCAACAGAAAGTATTGAAAAGTACAATAATGTGAACAAATCAGACCACAACATGCCGTCTTATTCTTATTTGAAAAGATGATGAGATTCTCTATTCATCCCACAGTGGGGAAATTTCAGTGTTGCATCACCAGTTACAGAACAGGATACGATAAATAAACACACAATTTAAAAAAAAAAACTCTCTAGCTTTAGCATAATAAGGAGCAGTCTATAAGAAGCAGCAAAAAGTACAAAAGCTGATCTAAAGATGTGACTGAGGCCAAAAATACATGCATTTGAAAACTCGTAATAGAACCAATCTGAGAAGGAGGTACGAGTTGGATAGATTGTACTGCACAGTTCCGTTTGTTTGTGGTCCGAAGTTAGGTACCCCAGCTTTAACTTTACTTAAATTGTGTAAGAATTTGCAATATAGGCACATTTCTTTACTGACTTGAGTGATCGTGACGAGGAAGGTCTTTGTTCCAATCCCATATCTGATTCTGAAAAGACAGAGTGAGCCGTTTCTTTGTGTGAAAATTTGATTGCTTGACAGCGTATTATTAATTTAAGTTCTATTTTTGTACGACAGCATGAAGTGTCACAGCAAAGCAACAATAGCCAACTCAACACTCTTTGAACATGACTCTGATGGTGAATCATTAAGAGTGATGTGTGACAACTTCATCGCTCGCTTTTGCTTTGTGCACTCCCTTTTTGCTCTTTTATGTGGCGTATGGGAAAAAAATAAAATATTGTCATTTATCTCATTGTTGCTCCCGGCAACAGGGGCAGGTGGAAAAATTCATGCTGGATGCACAATGTGGCTGAGGCGTTTTGAAACAATGGAGGCGATTTGACGTCAGCGGCTCGCCTCACTGAACAAAGAAATTGCATCCTCAACAACAGTGGACAAGTGCAAGTGGCTCGAGCAAACAGATCAGTCATAGCTGTGCATATAGGCTGTGGGCTGCACCGCCGATCGATGGAACAAACACAACGCTGATAGCAGATGATGAGAATATGAACCCAGCGAGGGAGGGTTGTGTTTTGTGAATTAAATCTCGCCGCTCTGCTTCCCAGATTCACCTTTTCCCGTTCCCATGGACACCACAGGACCTAAAATTGTCGCTGCCAGTCATGTGCGCATCGCCCAGACGTGACACGCAGAGCAGGCAGAAAGCATTTCGGGTTCTATGAGTAATTCAATGACTCGACGATTTGAGCATTGTCAGGCGAAGGATCCTCTGTGACCACGATTGTGCTGTTGTAAACAAGCAGTGCCTCATGCAGAGCGGTGGCCAGTGGTTAAATGAGGATGCACCAACTCATTTGAATAATCGTGATGGTGCTTTTTATTTTGTATTTTTTATTGGTACATTTTGGTCTGTGAAAAGCGCTATATAAATAATATATACATATTCTTACTATCTAGCTTTTATGATAAAGTTTTTATCCTGACCTCATTTTGCATACACCTTGAGTGTTTCTCTCCTGCGGTGACCAGACATGGTCATCGCTGATGGTGAAGCGAGTTCATGTTCCGTAAGGTAATTGCCGTGGATTGTCTGTGTGACGCTAAAGTAGTAAAGCAGCTTTATACACAGCATCACAGACATTCCTCCATCACTTTTACAGCACATAAAATGAAACGTTCACCAGTTAACGACTCCCCATTATAATGCCTCATTATGGTAACTGTACATATTTCATTGCTCAGCATTCAGCCGGAACAAGACTTATTACCTTCCACTAGTTAAGAGTTTGAGGCCATTTTTTAAGCTCGATATTCTTCAGATTAAGAAACCAGCAACTTGGCAATGACCTGCTCATGCTATACAAGGCCAGCTATGTCGTACAGTAAAACACACATTTCCCAGTCATTTGAGCTGTTTTATGCTCTATGTTGATATATGGGAATTGTAGGCGTGATAGGTTGACAGGGTTTTCCGTAGTGTGAGAGCGGAGAACAGGTGCTGGTTAATTAAAGGATATGCGAGCTTATCGACACTGCCCACCTGCTGCTCAAAGAAGGAGAGAATTGGGCAAATAGGCTACTAATCTATAGCTTGTGTGCACATGATAGTAGGTTAGTAGTTGTCAGGTGCGATATGTCTTCCGCAGTCTATAAAAGCAAGTGACACATGATTTGCGGCTTAATTCTTGAGCGTTGTTTTCAAATTTAGTGTCCAAGTCACACACTTTTAGTGCCATCGTTGTTGAAGTTTACCTCCAAGAGTAGCCAGATTTATGTTATTTCTCCAGCCGGTGGCCAAGTGCGCTCTAAATCCTACTTAAAACGGGACTCCCCAGACGTCCTGGCGAATATGAGACTCGTAAAATAAATCCCAACTAGAGGAGGTTGTAACAAGAGAGATGCAGCAAGTGCACGAAGGGGCTAACAACCTTTTGGCACTACTAATTTCTTGAGAAAAGAACAATTGAGTAAATACAGTCGTGTTTTGTGATGTTTTTTTGTTTATGTATGCAGCTGGGTACATCATGAGACCTGCTACTGTCATTAATAAGTTATAGACGTTCATTCTTCAACACTCTTCTGTTCAAATTATATTGCAACACAAAAATGGAAAGAAGTGGATAAAAAAGGTATTGAACTTGTTATAATGTTCATATATTATAATTGTGGGTCCAATGTTTCTATATTGACAAGCCACAACTCGTCTCTGTCTTTAAAGAAATTCAAGTATGCTAACAATGTCTCATGCACGATAACATTTCAAGAACAAAGTATTGCTTAAAACTCAAAGCTCTCACTAAATCTGGTTCACTTGGATGGAAATGCATTATATGTGGTTGTAAAACCACCAAACAAGTGAACATGTGTGCACTAGTGAGTCTGTTTACATCTTTTGAAGCCGATTTGTGAAGTATTTTCCCCACAAGTGAATACGTTTTTGGTCTAGTTAAAGTGAAGTGTGAACATGCCCCAATTCTACAATTCTGTTCCGTTTGTTTTAAATTCCCAGTAATACAAAAGCCTGTCCCATTTCACAATCATATGCATACAGTTGGCAGTGTCTTCTTCTTTGCAACAGACCTGGATGTGTCCTGGCATGCTGCTTTCCTCTCTGCCCATTGGATTATTGCAGCAATGGCAGCTCCTCCAAGGATAGCTCCATTCACTGCTGCACAAAGCCAAAATCTGGCCTTTGAGCTAAATTTAGCCCTACCATCTGTGATTACCACTAGAGGAAAAAAAAAACCTGCATGTGAGGGAGAGCTGCTTGCATTTGCTGACTAACAACCCTTTTACAAATGTAGTAAAAAAGATGAGAGAAAGAGAGTGGGTAACTTCACACCTATAGTCACCTCGAAGGCACCGTTTTCACAAAGTAGTACTATGCGAAGGCAAACTAAACGGCATTGATCCGTTCTCTGCTCCCGCCCCCAAAGTGCCATTTAGCCACATCAAATGCTCTTCTTTTAACTCGCCTGTGCTTTCATGTGAGGCTCATGCCGATGCCGGTGGTCTCGCTGGTTAAAGCCGACTGCAGGCATCCTCCCGCCTCACCCCTCCTCACCCCTCCTCACCCCTCCTCACCCCTCCTCACCCCTCCACACCCCTCCTCACCCCTCCTCACCCCTCCTCACCCCTCCTCACCCCTCCTCACCCCCCTCACCCCTCCTCACCCTCCTCACCCCTCCTCACCCCTCCTCACCCCTCCTCACCCCTCCTCACCCCTCCTCACCCCTCCACACCCCTCCCACCCCTCCTCACCCCTCCTCACCCCTCCTCACCCCTCCACACCCCTCCTCACCCCTCCTCACCCCTCCACACCCCCTCCTCACCCCTCCTCACCCCCTCCACACCCCCACCTGCCTCGCATGTGCACCAGATCAGCATCAGTTAATGAAAGTGCATTGATTTCCCCGCGCCTCACGCAAACACTGTATAATCTGTCAGATGAAATTGATCAGGAAAACAAGAAAGATTTGGCCTAGATCTGCTACATTTCTGCATTGATTTTATTTCATTTTGATGAAAACAGGTGTGAAGAAGGTATTCAAATGTGTTTTTAGTTATACAGTGGTTTTATTGGGTAAATGTATTCAATAAATAAATAAAAAGAAAGAATCTTTATTATTCAATGTAACCTATTTCTAAAGAAATCACAGCTGAAAGAGTGTTCCGCTGTTCTGTTTAGCTTGATTGCAACAACATTTACCCATGAACATATATCCCCTAAATTCTTTGTAAAACCATAGACCTCATTTATACAACTTTAAGTACAATTAATTACTGAAGAGTACTGTATGTATGTATGTATACTACAAACAAGACAAAGTGTCCAAAGAATTATCGTTCTACCAAACATAATGTCTTCTTTTTAGTTTTTGTCTGACCACATAACGCTGATGATCTTTGAAATCTCTCAAAATCCAAACATTTTGAGTGGACCATATTTCTTCGTCAAGTCACATATGTAACATTTATTTACGCACACATTCTTTACAAAAATCCCACCAGATGTTATATAGGGTGCTGGGAAAATCCATATCTCTTTAACGGCTTTTTCATGGAGCATATGATTCAGGGGGAAAAAAACAGAAAGGCTGTTGATTTTATGGAGGCTGTAAATCCATAAACTCAATCAAACCAAACTAAGAGGATCTAGATTTGAAGTAGTGACTCGAGTCTGAGTGTTGTGGGCTCATATCACCCTGATGCAAGAGGACAGTCTTGTGGATTACGAGGGCTGCTAAGCGCCATCTCCCTGCTCCCACACTTAAGGGCAGATTAAAGACTCCTGTGTGCAGATGGCTGCTCCTCCGCCCTTGGGTCCACCCTGTGACCGTTCATTCATCCTTCCCTTCATCCTTCCTCTCCTGTCCTTCCTCTTTCTCTTCTCTGTGGCTCGCTTGTCTTGTGGCAGGTGCTTCTTCCGGGCCGCCCCACCTCTTGCAAACTGAGTCATCGGCTAAATGCTCACAAACCTCGCCCCAGTTTCGGCCCCCGCGCAAGATACTTTTACTGTCACGCAAGTTTGAGGATTTCAGCAAAGTGTAAATCAAACCAGTCAAAAGCTTGTGTATGCTGTTTATCCATTGTTAACACTCTAATGACCTGGGGAATTACAGGGGCAACTTTAAGCTCTGATAATAGCCAATTATAAGTGTAATCTAATAATCCTCCTATTACATTGTGTTGTTATAGTGCCTGCGAACAATGGATTGTTTTGGAAATGGCTGCACATAAAATAGGAATGTGTCACTCTTGCTGATCCTTATGCAAACCACCTGCTCGAGTACCGACTCTGTATATTTCTTATTTTTGTATCTACTTTTGTTAAAATGTTCGGTGCTATTTTTTTGTGCTCTTTTTTCATAAATTAGATTGACAATCAGATTTCGACAAGACCATCTAAAGTTCACCTAACAAACTCAACCCAAATGAGAGACTTATTCTACTCTCTGATTGGATAATCTGCTTTGTATCCATTGTGTTTTTTTAATTAAGAATACCTGAATTTGAAAGTGTTGTTTACCTGTTATCTGGTGACACAAATAAAAGATAGCATAATTTTAAATGAAAATATGACACACTGTTCCTACAATTGCTTTATTTTTTAATTCCATCTATTCCAACCTAAAACACATGGTTGGTCGCAGTGTTGTCATGAATCAAATACCTGATATATTAGCATTACACTGGAACCCACACTCCTCCATAGTGAAATAAATGTCCTCCCAAAAAGGCGTTTAGTGAATCTTTCTTGAATCTTTGCGTTGGCCGAGTGCCCTCTATGATACTGGTCTTTATGTACTGTTTCAGTGAGCTGACATTTTTAAACAAACAGATATTCCGCTAACCTTTGAATATGGTTTCACACATAAATGTCAAATGAGCTGCAGGAGGGGGAGCCCAATCATTACATAAGAATGAGTTTACAGCGGTTTTGCTTCTGTTTTCAGTGGATGTTAAATCATGAAAAACAGCACAATAAAAAATGTATAAGAGTATGATTTGATTATGATTAAAAGACCTGTACCTGATGTTTGCGTATTATCAATATCATGGTAGAAAACATAGCTCAAACTCACAGATCATCCTGAAATCCTCCTACCATCACATCCCATCTACAAACCAAATCATTCTGTCTAATTCATTTTGCATATTCCTGCCTACAAACACAAATTCAAACATGCACACACACACAGACAATCTCATTACCCCTTATTGTGGTAATAATTTCATTTTCAACCATTCGCGGCATTTCTCGCGTCTGACATATTCTGACACATCGTAATTACTCACTGTGGTGCATTAAAGATAGTATATTACCACTTTAGCCATATTAGCAAGAATTAGCGCAAGTTATCAGCCACATTAGCATTGCACTTTCTGTTTCTCAGATCATGAAACTTCCAATATAATTAAAAGCACAGCCAATTAGCTATACATGACATCATCAACATGAGAAAATAACAGATTTGACATGGAATACAACTTGGTACATGGCCCTTTAAAGCTGCTGAACTTAACTTTCAAACAACAAAAACTATTAAAGCCATCTAACTATTGTTCCTAGCTCTCAAATCTCTCTATAACTCGTTTTCACATGCATGTATGTTTGGCCTCTGTCACATTTTAAGATCAGCTTTTTCAGACAAAAAGCGAATTAGAGAGGACCAGCGTCACTCAGCCAATCAGCTCTCAGCTCAAAGGGTCAAATATAGTGACTCCCAGGGTATTTTCTTACAATTGTGCAAAAGATAAGGTTAAAGACAGTAGTTGGTTTAATAACCACCCAAAAAAGCTTGTTAAATAACTAATATTTATCTTTTTGGCATTACCTTGATTCTGCATCCATTTTAAAAGATGCCGTAGTAAGTGTATTAACAGAATACAACTTACATTTTGTGATATTTTGAGGTGCAAAAATGCTGCTGGTGTTGCTGAAACGCTTGCTTCTCTGTGCGTACATGGGGTTCTGGTGTGAGAGCCAGGGATTTGGGCCAGAAACGCCCACACTTACAAACTGCTAGTACTAGTGCCTTTCTTTTGGCTTGTAACCTGCTCTACAAAAACACATTCACTCTATTGAGATTTGAGACTATTTTGTAGTTATAGACACTGGATGCACTGTAAAAAGGTTGCAAATGTTGTAAAACAGAGATTGCCATTTCTGTTATGACACTTGGATAGTGCACTATGGGAGGATTTAAAGTTGAGGGAAAAGTAACATTTTGTTTAACTAAAGTTGCATTTCTTTTCATTAAGTTCTTTAAAAAATATGTATTACTGAACATTTCACTTAAACTACAACTAAGTGAGAATGGATCATCAGACCTTTTTCTTCGGCAGACAAAAGAGTCAAAGTGCAATTAATAGTAATTCTACATCGTTTAGACTCCTTGTATATTTCTAAGCCTGTTCCATAGCTCTATTTTAGATTTTCCTAATATGTGACAAGATCATTTTCTGTTTGTAAAAGAAATAAGGTCATCAGGCAGCCCTAGTTAAAAAGTGGTCCTGTCTCCTTCTCAGCTCGTCTGCCTGGTGTAATGTTGTGGAGAGCCGTGACGTGCACACTGTCAGCTATTGTTGCGTCTCATGCTGCAGCTGCCAGTTGCTGTTAGTGACCGACCGCACGGGAGAAGGATTTTACAGGTGTCATATTCTAAATAGGCATTCACCTAAGGGCCCTCAATAGAAGCTGACAAACCGGTCCCAACCATTCTATAAACCATGGACGAGAAGCAACTCGTTCTGAAAGCTGTTTTTGTATTCCAGAGCATAATCATATAACATTATGCAAGATTTGTCGCATGGTGTGAGATGGTGATGGTTTGAGCATTTTTTCGTTTTTGAGGAACGGAAAACAATTGCACGTTTTTATGTATGTGTTTAAATTTAGGCAAGTACATATTAATTAATGGGTCGCAAACAGCGTCAACATAAATTTGCTGGAATTAGCACAATAGCTAAATTGCAGCCATTGTTCTAATGCAGGAAGACACATACACACAGTTGGGCAACAGTACAAACAACAACTCGACAAGCACAACGTCAAGAATTGATATTTATTCCCACTGTTTACTCAAGTAAAGTCACACTTGACATTATGCCTGTTTTTATTTTTCATAGGCACATTCATTTTAGTAGTTTCAAAGTTAGGTATACTACAGCTTAAAAGAGGTTAGGGTTTTATGTTTTGTTGGTATGCAAAGTTGAAAAATGCCTTCATGGTACTTTGTCATTCTTGTATAGACACAATGAAAACTCCGCAGCCACAGCCCTGTCATGTATTGAGTTACACAGGTAGAAACACAAGCCATAGAAAAGACATTTGACCAGTTTCGATGCTACTTTATTCAACAACATAAGCACTTGAAAGCTGCAAACACCTCAGCAATAGAGCCTAATTGAAACTGACTGCTATTGTTGACCATTTGTCGTCGACGTATTTGTCTTTCTACAATATGAAACACAAGTCTTTTTGCTGCCAAGGCCATTTTGATTCAGGATAAGTGTTCCCGAAAAAGGAAGTTGCACGTCGCTATCCAAAACCCAAAACAGATGCGCCCAATTCCCTGTTTTTCCTGTGCGGAGTTGTGTTACAGCTGGGACACTCAGGGCAGTTTTGGAATTTAAGGTTTTGTTTGTAAAGCTGAAAGTTCATCGAGATCATAAGCTGAAAAGACGACAGCTTCAGCGTTTGAGGGGGGAATATTTAGGTTTGAAGTGATCCCCCAGAGGAGATGAATAAACACTTTCGGCCGCAAACCAGGATGAGACACAGTGGTCCGCTCTGTCAATGTCCTTGTGTGTCTGATTTGGTTGGTTTATTGACTTCAATGGCAAATACACATGACCGGAGAATTCCCAGTTGTTTGTTCATGGGAAAAGAGACACGTCGCCTCTGTGTGTGTGGCCACTGTCGGGTTTATAGAGCTAACATGAGGGATTCAGGCTGCTCGCTGTCAGTCGGTCCTGAACAAGCAGACAGAGGTGGACACTATTGTCACAACAACTGATACAACAAGTTCTCTACATACACTATGAGGAGGCTCGGTACGAAGCACGACAAAAGTATTGAAAATCTGATGGTAAAGCTTGAGAATCCAACTATGATGATGATGAGGGAGATGTTTGTACCAATTAAAAATGTATTACGTACAACGATCGTTGTTCTCAGTAGATCGCTGTTAATCTAAGTCTGTTAAAATGTTAATCTTGCCAGTTAGCAGCCCACACCGGAGCTTTGTGATTTCGGCAAAAATGGAAGGGTTGAAAAATCAAAATACCGCCTTGTGGGTAACATTTTGGGTTCATGGGAAACAAATAAACTGAATAACATATATATTTTTCCGTTTGGACAAAAAACATGTAATTATGAAGTAAAGATAAAGTTAGGTACTCCAGCTTTAATACTAAAACCGGTATCTAAAGCATAGATACTGAAATTGACTATAAATCTTTTTTTTATTGTAAAAACATGTAATATTTCCTGGGCTTTTAAAAAATAATGTTTAACTGGTAGCCACCTCCTATGAAGACTGTTTATTAGAGGTGGCTGCATATTTCTCTTTGAAGTTTAACCAACTTTAATTCACTTGGATACCAGCAGCTCCCTGTCTCCTTTGTTAAGTTGTGTTGTCATAATTTTTGTGCGAAAAAATAACAATAAAAAATGATAATCTATTATTATTTTTGTATTCTCTTATTTCCAAGTCAAGCTATTGCTATTCATATGTGGTTTCTGCTCTAGGTAGTCTTGCCTTTGTAAATGTAATTGTGCTGCCTTAGAGCTCATCTGCATAATATAAATCCAAACTGAGACAACCCTCTAAATATTTGATCCTGATTTGGGACTAGCACGACTGGCCTGTGGGTCTTTAGCTGTGGGGAATGTGTAAATAAGTCGTGCGGACTTCAGTATCTCAGCCACATTGACATATATTTATACTGAAGGCTGCTGAATCTTTTATGAACCACTTGGTCTGATCTTTGCAGTCCTTGGCCCGTTGTGCTTTTCACCTGTAAATACATGTGTAGAACAATCTCTAGCCCGCAGCAGCACGGCCTGGGCGTGAGCCGTCAAAACTCAGGAAAACAACTATTTGTGTGACAGTAAGATCAGGTGTTTAAGGGGAACAGGTTTCTGCACGAGAGGATTTACCCTTTAGGTTATGGAACAATTTTGCACTTTTAATACTAGGCAGACGTGTGCTTACAACCACTACTGTCACTAAAATAGGGGAAATTGAGTACAAAACAAGTAAAAAATACCACCAGCAATAAAATTTATTGTGAGATGTCAGTATAATTCTGCCTTAAAAAGTGTTGCCTACTCTTCTTAGATAAAAGAAGCTTAGAGAAGAAACCTATGACTGTTATTGCGCTTTCTCACTTATCCAAAAGGAATAAATCTACGATAATTTGGAGTGAGTTTTTGAGTGCATTGTCGTTCCTTCCCAACAAACTTTTCCTTCGCTTCCTAGACTGCCTTGAAGGAACATCAAGTCACAAAAAAGGACACAGCAGAATTGGAGCAGGGTTGAATTGCACTGTCACAATGCAGCATCAGTATTGTGCGCTTTGGGCCCCAGGCGAAGGCACGCTCTGTACCACCGTGGGAAGGGGGGCGGTGTGTAACTTTGCCTTCAAACATAGGCCTGTAGCTGCCCACTGATGACTCCACAATGAGGACGAGCCTGTCTCTCCCTATTTGCAGCTTGTGTCTTTGCTCTGGTGAAAGGAGGAATTGGTTGATGAATGGTAAAGGTGATTTTGCAGTAATCATGAGATGCTGACTGCGGCGCGCTAGTGAAGCTCCTAATCGATTAACCCTGTTTTTTACGACTTGGTTTGTTAATTGGGCCCTAGCTCCCTGCTGACACAGTGACCCTAATGGACGAGAATTACTACTGTCGCGTCGTGCATTATCCCCCCCCCCCACACACACACACACACACACACACACACTCTCTGCCCCGCAGCAGCTGGCCACACGAGTCCAGCACAGAGACGTCCTGGTCAGGTGACGCATGCAGCCCACTGATAAGAAGGCACCCAGAGGCGAAGACTGTCACATCGGGTCTTCTAATGAGTTTTAAAGGGACTTAGAGGAGGTCTGAAAGGCTGTCTGGACGAGGAGAGCTAAAAAAGCAGGACACTGTATGTTTTGGGAATTCAGATACATGAGTTTGAATTAAAAATGAATGATGGGGAGGAGGAAACTTCATGTGAAAAGATTGATGTAAAAGTGAAACTTGGAAATCGCTGAAATGATATCAGTCTTGTTCTAAGTGCGCCTTCACAGTCAGTTTCAAGTGAACTGGAGTTTTCACTTCAACTGGACCAACCAACACTCCTCATGATGTCACAACTGTTTCAAAAGAATTGGCTTTTGTGATTAACCATGACGAGCGTGTGCACTTGTTTGGTTGGTCAAATCGCTTCATACATTTTTGATTAACGTGAATAAGAAAGGTTCCAGAGAGAGTAAGCCCTGGTTCACTTGGGAGTCAGTATTACTCTCAAAGTCTTATCTTAAAGACCTAGATTAAATGAGATATCGTGTGATCTTATTCAAGTACCAAAAATCTCATAACATTACTTCACATTTTTTCAATAAACATGTGCTTGTTCTTCTTGCACCACAAATGTTGGTCGTGAAATTCCTTCAGAAATGTAAATTTTTTCCCAATCTGGATAAATTAGGATTACATACAGTTTGTGTGAGTAAATCCTTAATTTGAGTGTGTGGGGCTGCAGCACATGTGTCCCAGAGCAGCAGGAGGCCCATAAACATCTGTGCCGATAAGACTTTGCCTTTTTGGACATTTTGTAAAACCGCTTTCTGTCTGCGCTGCTTGCCTTGCCGTTTTATGTAGGTTATGTGTATCCACTCGTGTTCAGACTGGCTCCATTATTTACACATGTGAATATTTCATGATGACTTTATAGGGTATAGATATGCATGCAGATCTGCTGTTCTAATTAGACGTGGCACACTGCTTATCCGGCTCTGAAGCAAAACACATGGGAAAGTGCTCATAAAACAAACTATTATTTTGAGACTGAAGAAAAAGATAAAACTTCTTTCTGCTACTACATAATGCCGGGGGGAAGCTGCAAGCACAATCTCAATTGCATTTCTGTCTGCAAAACAAGGTCAAATGTACAATGCGGTAATGTTGGAAAGAAATCCTATAGAGGACACTGGTGTTTTGTATTCTTGAAGTAGAGCTTTTGATGCAAATGCCTTTTGGAGTACTAAATATCATAAAATCTAAGAAGATATCAGGGTTTTCATACTATTGTATTTGTGCGTCATCTGCTGCAGTGATTCAGAAAACTTCTCACTAAGATCAATGCAGCGCTCACAAAAGCTGAAGAGGCCTTTTGGCTACTGCCGCTGTCAGCAGCCAACGCTCTTCCAACATCTAAAGTGCTATGACTTTTATTACTGTGTATTTTTCTAATCACAAGAGTTTAACCATCTTTTTTCTGTTGTGTTGCAGTGAGGGCGTCTTCAAGTGTCCAGAAGACCAGCTTCCATTGGATTATGCAAAGGTATGGAACATTCACACGCAACAGAGTCACTGATCCAGGTGTACTGTTGAGGAGGACTGCGCCATCAGTCTCAAAAACATTGATATTGTAAATTTTGTGAGATAAAATAAATGCACCACACTATGATCCATTTTTGTATGTCAATGTCAATGTCAATTTTATTTATATAGCACACTTAAAACAGCCACAACCGCCCAAAGTGCTGTACAACAAACATTATAAAATACAATTGAAGAGTAAATACAAATGAATTGTATTTGTATTGTATATATTGTAGATGAAAACCGCGATGAAAAAATAGGTTTCCCAGTTTTTGCACCTTCTCTCCCGTTGATCTTGTTAAGTCCTATTTCAGATCTAGTGCAGGTTTCAATGATTTTATTCTACCATATTACAATAGCCTTGGTGGCACTTTGGAAGCCAAAGATTAAGTTATTTTTACTGCTACTACTGAACAAATACGAAAGTAATATTTATCTTTTGAATTACACTGTGTATTTGCTTTTCTAGTGTTACTGAAACATTGTTTTTAGTACATTCTGCTTAATATCCACAGTGCCCTTTCTGTAAGTCGACCAAAAAGGATCGAGGTTCTCATTTCATAATACTCCTGCGTAACATTTTTAAACATGAACCATAAATCTGGCGCTTAGATTAATAGTTAATCCATTTGATCACAGAGCTGTAGTTATAAAATAAAAACATTAAATTGTTGGATTATTTAAGGGTTTAAACGATTGCCTCACAAAAGGAATCAAGACATCCCATTCACTATTTTGAAATGGCTAAACCGTGATATTTAATGGCACGTTCAAGCCTTTCTGATAAACGTACAAATATATTAGTAAATTAACCGTTTTTTTTTTTTTCTTTCTCTCTTTTCTGTATTTGCAACTGTAATAATTATTGTCATTTGTTCTCTCCCTTTGTTCAGTAGCACATTGTTCAGATCCTACACACTTTTTTTTTTCTCCAATACATATTACATTAATTTATCATTTTCCTTACCCCACCATATTAATATCTCAGTCGGAACTTGCCCAAATCCTTCCACCACCCTCCTCTGTGTTTTTAATGCACTACAAGTCATACAAAAGAATATGAATATGTATACATGGATACATAATACACATTATTAAAAGAGGAGAAAAAGGGAAAAAAAAGAAAAAAGGAAGGAAAGATCTAGTAGGGATACAGGACACATGGGAGGAGAAAAAAGGAAAAAAAAGAAAAAAGGAAAGAAAGATCTAGTAGGGTTACAGGACACATGGGAGATGCCCTTGGAACAGTACCCCTGCCCCAGGTAAGCAACCTCCCATAGTGTCCTTTTTAATGCACCACATCAGACAAAGGAGCAATGAGGGTGATGGGTGGATGCATCAAATTGCTAAAAAAAAACCACGCACGCACACATACACACCCACACCACGCACACTCTCTCTCACACACACACTGTATCTTGTCTGTCTTACTGAAACTGTATCTGTTTGTACGTCTGCACTTGTATTTGTCTATGTCTATCTTCACAATAAAAAATAAATAAAAAAAGTAAATTAACCGTTTTGTATAGTGTATTTTATTTTATTTATTGTACCAGCCTCCCTGAAGTTGTATTCGACTTGATCATAGTAATGTTCTGTCATATCCTTGACCTCACTTGACATATAAAACAAGCTAACTTTGGGAGAGAACCAATGTTTCTCAATCAAACTCAAAGACAGGACACATTTGAACTTTGCTTCATCACCTTAGCTTGTGTCAAACCAGATTCCAAAGTGTTGCGTACCAGACTTTCTGCATTGCTACTCGCTTAGTATGTTATTTCCGTTGTTCATCATCAAATACAAAACACATTCTTTGCAAAGCACGGGGCCGGATGACTGCCGCAGCCACTAAAGCGTAGTATTAGTGCCGTAGTGCTGCTTGGGGACTGACAATAGCTGCAGCACACTTCATAAAAGCTCCAGTTAGCGCCCCAAAGAGCTTAACCCCTTGATCTGCCGGGGACTAAGTTATTAAAAGGTCATTATTACGTCCCGTTGCAGATTCCAATGCGGGAACAATGAAGGAATGCTTCTCTTTGCTGCAGAGGAATTTTTCTTACTTGGCCTGACCTCAAAGAATGTGATTATAGTAGCAAAGTAGCATTTACTATTGCAGTGATTACAGTACATGGTGCGGGGAGCCGAACTCTTAAATATACAGTAGAGTGCAAAGTTATGGACAGACGGGGCTTTAACACAGTTAGGGGAAAATTAAGCGCAATTATAGAGAATGAGAAATCTGAATATCAAGTATAATAATGATAATAAGAATGAGAATAATGATGATAAGGATATTAATGCATCATACTTTTATAGCATTGTTTGGATTCACAAAGACACTTTACATGGTCTTGTTATTTTACTCCTTACACAGTGGTGGTGAACTACTGTAGCCACAGCTGCCTCGAGGGCAGACTGACCCCCAATCACTCACGCACACACCAGACTTATACTACGTAATGTGGGTAAAGCGTCTTGTCTAAGGACGCAATGAGAGTTGGGTACTTTACAGCTATAGGAGCCCTGCGGTATTCCTAGAGGTCTCCCATCACAGTGCTAAACAGGCCCAGCCCTGCTTAGCTTCTGTGATATGAAAAGAGTATAGCCAAATATTTCAGCCAATGTTACAGTCCTTTCACAACTGTGTTTTTGTTTTGTATAGTTGTATATTTGGTGGTATCTTCATTAGTTGCCACATATAGTTTTATTGGAATGCTTTATCTATTTATATTTAATGCACTTAAAATGCAAATAACTGAAAATATGGATAATTTTGTCCTCTGACACACATAATGCAGTTCTAGTTCATGATTAGGCTTCATAAAGCTGGTGCAAAACAAGCTGGAGTGTAACTGCCGTGGGGGCTTTTGAATACATTTGCATGGGGAGGCACGTGAGTGTTGGTCTTTGAGTGAGCAGTTAGAGGGCTGTTGTGACATTTTGAGGAAGTGGCTTTTCTTGTCCGACCAGAGTGCGCTCATGTGTCGGAGGGGGATAAGACTCAGACAGAGCTGTAAATCCTTCTCGGACTGGACGGGGGTGGGTTCAGCAGCGTTTGGGCACAAAACTCACTCATCCTCATCCCGTAGAGACTGCGCAGGGGATAAATCACTGCGTTTTCTGCCCTCGTCTGGCTCTCAAAGGCCCCATAAACCTTAACAGACATTCATTATCAGCAGCAGTGACTGGGGATGGACTTCCATTTAGTGCTATCTAATGCTTTAGTCTGAATACAGCCAAGGACCACAGAATTAAAGTGATACTCAGACTTTTGCAGCAAGTGGCCTGTTACAAAGCTGGTAGCCTATGAGTGGCGTCTTATTTTTAGCATCAACAGGACACATTACTTCATTCAGTGGTCAAAAATATTGTGTTGTTATAGTCTTCAAAGTGATGGTTGCATAGTAACCATACAAAGTAAATTACATAAGATAAAAGAACGTCCCACTCTGAGGAAATGTTAGTTGGAATAGAAGGAGCCAAGATAATTGGAATAAACATTTGTAAATATGAGAGAAATTCAAACGTCAAATATTAAGCCTAAGCATAGAACCATAACTGTAAGTAAATACAGTATGCAATTTGCACGCTCAGTTTTTTTCTGTTCTCTCAATATATGAAAAAGGACATTTATAAACAGCATGCAGTATTGAATCAAGCAAAGCCAACAAAAGGTTCTCAATAAAGTCCAATCAGGTGCCTGCTATATTTAGACTTGTTATGTGTGGTTGTGTAATGCTGTGGAGCTAGCTGTCTGTAGCTTTTTGGGGAACATCGACTCTATTGTGTGTATTGTAGTGTTTTCTGATGCTCCTGATGGGGTGAATAAAGTCACCTGAATAATACATCTGTTTTTCAATGTTTGTCTTTCAGATCTATCCAGACCCAGAGCTGGAGCAGCAGATCTTGGCCCTGCCCATCCGCTGCATCCACAGTGAGGAGGGCTGTCGCTGGACGGGGCAGATGAAGCAGCTACAGGTACCGTCTTTCACCCCTGTCCCTCTGATGTCGCTAATGCAGTCTCATAAATCAGACTGAAGTTTTCTTTTGTCCAAACTCAGGGCCATTTCTCCACCTGTGCGTTCAACGTGATCCCGTGTCCGAACCGCTGCTCGGTGAAGCTGACCCGCCGCGACCTGCCGGACCACCTGCAGCACGACTGCCCCAAGCGCAAAGTCAAGTGCGAGTTTTGTGGCAGCGAGTTCACCGGTGAAGCCTACGAGGTAAACAGGACTTTCCGCTCATCTGGAGAGTGACGCAAACTACCTGGATTTCCATGTCCTTTGAAAGAGCTTCTTTGAGCAGCACTCGTTGTGCGTTCATGGCAGGAGTGTGTACACAGTGTCAGGGCAAAATATACGCCTTTGGGCTTTTTAACAGTGGAAACACACAGTCATGCCCACATAGTACAAGCTAATGTCCTGTTTGGTCAAAGAGGTGTTTATGGAGAAGTCTGTATGAGAAACTAGATTTGCATAACAACATTCATAAAACAGTTAAAGTAAGTTATTCTCTTGCAAAACTAGAAATTCAACCATTATTAATTGATTGTTTATGTTTTACTAATACCAATATGTTTTCATCCATACATGTTATCATACTTCTCATGTATGCTTTTTGGTTTACTCTTTTCTTAATATAACCATTTCCGGTGGGGCTTAGTTCATATTTAGGACTATTCTTGCATGTCTTTCTTTCTTTTCTTTCTTTCTACCATATTACAGTAGCCTTAGTGGCACTTTGGAAGCCAAATATTAAACCATGTGTTAGTTGCTGTAAAAAAGTTTAAAAGCCCCTGCCACATTTAATGAATAGGAAAGGGTGTTTTGTGTGTTAAGCTGTAATAGCGTATTGTTGTCTTCCCCAGAACCATCAGGGCGTGTGTCCCCAGGAGAGCGTTTACTGTGAGAACAAATGTGGGGCGAGGATGATGCGACGCCTTCTGTCCCAGCACAGCATGGCGGAGTGTCCCAAACGCACACAGCCCTGCAAGTACTGCGGCAAAGAGTTCGTCTACGACACAATCCAGGTTTGTCACACTTCACTGATGAAAATGCCCAGTTTAGTAGGTTTTGTCACAAATCGTTTATTTTTTCTTACTAAAAAAGCACTGCTGCTATAACCTGGTACAATGCATCTCTCCTTCTGGCTAATGTTTATTGTACACTGTCCCTGTAAAAATAAAAACCATACCATACCATACCATAGCATACTACTATGAAGAGAGAATAGCTCAAGAAAATAAGAAAATATAGCTTTAAAAATCTGAAAATTTGAGTATTTTTTGTCTTTATTTCCATCATTTTTTGCAGTGTAATCAATGCATATTATCTAGAACTGCACTGAAAGGCACAAGCTTTCAGGGGCTGATCCAAACTCAACATTGGCCACTCATAATGATTGAATCTTGTTAAAGAATTGCACTATGCCCAAAGAAACTCTTTGTCGACAAAGAAAAACCCCTTTGAACAATGAGTCGACTAAAAGTGGAAGCAGCAAAAGTATTCAAAACTAACACATTTTCTAGCTTAAGTACTCACACATAAATTATAACTATACTTTGTTATTTAGCTATTAATAAAAAGCTTAACAAAACTACTGAATTGAGAGTTTTACGTGTCTTGAATGTAAAATCAATTTCCCAAAAAAAAAAAGAGCTATAGCTAAATTAGCTCAATTAGCTATATTCTATTCATAAACTAAAACCCACCAACTAATTGCACTAATTGCACAGCTCTAGTTTCTGCAGTGTCTATCAGTAGATCAGAGATGCCGTTCATTTCAAAGCATGTCAAGATGTCTATTTTTAATAACCCTTGAGACGTATTTTTAGAATTGTTATTTATAGAGTGCTTTGTCTGCGTGGAGCCGTTTCATCTCTTGCTACATTTGCGTCTGTCACGTTGCCTGTCACGTTGCCTCTCATGTTAACATAGTGCCTCGATGCTTGTTCACAGAATCACCAGTACCACTGCCCCCGCTTCCCTGTGCAGTGTCCAAACCAGTGTGGCACCCCCAACATCGCCCGCGAGGATCTGGCCAACCACGTCAAGGACAACTGCGGGAGCGCACTGGTCCTCTGCCCTTTTAAAGACGCTGGCTGTAAACATCGAGTAAGATACCACTCACATATGTGCCCTGCAAAGTGCTATTTTACTACTGCCCATTTCAAACACAGAAGTGCCTTTGAAACTGTTCCTGAACTAGAACTAAAAGCATGAATCTTTTGCTACAATATTTATATCTCCTCTGCCTGTAAGCTCTGTTTTAATGAGCTTGTATGTTTGCGTTGCATGTCGGCCTATTTTTGAATCTGACGTCAAGTTTGAAAAAAATAAAAAATAGTGAGAGCAGATGATCGTCTTCTTTGCTGTTGGCTATACACATTGCAGATGGTCTGGCAGGAAGCAAGTCTTATCTTTAGCATAAAGCTGTCGCTATTAAATATAGTCCAGTAAAAAGCTCCTCAAATGCAGTTTTTATATATATTAAGTCAGGCCCTTGATGGTTGAATGGTCAGATAGTTATTTCAGTAGGTATTTTCTAATCCTAATCTGAGCACCTGCTTTTATCCGTTCTAATCCTTAGCAACACTTTTCATAAACATCTTCCTCTTAAACTTGTCCTAAAAAAATATATTAGTTTTGGTCGTTTCATCTTTCAGTTTATGTCTAAAATCCTTAACATGAGTTGAACCTATTTTCAGTCCTTAAGAGAACCAAGCCTGTAACAAGTTAATCAATTAATGGCAACTCATTTTTTCTATTAATAATTGTCAACTACTTGTTTGTAAGAATATTAAGCTGCTCGAAGAAGAAATGCTCTTTCCCTGTTCCATAGTGTATGTCTCATCAATGTTTTAATAATAAGACATACACTTGATTATGGATGATTTTAGTGCTTTAAAAAGATGAGAAGTACCACAGATGTACAGTAACTTGTAACTTAGCTAAGTGAAGTCACATGCATGCTTCCAATGTAAAAGGAAAGTTCAATGACAAATTGTAAATACCCAGGAAAAACAACAACATATAGACGAACCCGAGTCAAAAGCAAACCACCAACAGGACAGCAGAAGAATGCACCTTAATCCTAAATTCGATCTCTTTCTCATGTCCGCAGTGCCCCAAACTGGCAATTGGCCGACACCTCGAGGACACCACGAAGTCCCACCTCACCATGATGTGTAACCTGGTGGGCCGGCAGAGGCAGGAGATCCTGGAGCTGCGGAGGGAGATGGAGGAGCTGTCTGTGAGCCACGACGGGGTCCTGATCTGGAAACTCAACGACTACTCTCGAAAACTCCAAGAGGCCAAGATGAGAAGCAACCACGAGTTCTTCAGCCCTCCCTTTTACACCCACCGCTACGGCTACAAGCTGCAAGTTTCTGCATTTCTGAACGGGAACGGCAGCGGCGAGGGCTCCCACCTGTCTGTGTATATCCGAGTTCTACCAGGAGAGTATGACAACCTTCTGGAGTGGCCATTTTCCTACAAAGTGACTTTCTCTATAATGGACCAGAGTGATCCATCGTTGTCCAAACCGCAGCATATCACAGAAACATTCAACCCAGACCCCAACTGGAAAAACTTCCAAAAACCAAGCAGCAATCGCAATTCCATGGACGAGAGCACCCTGGGCTTCGGATATCCCAAGTTCATCTCCCACGAGGAAATCAAGAAGCGAAACTACATCCGGGACAACTGTATCTTCATCAAGGCTTCGATAGAGATTCCTCAGAAAATAATGGGTTGAGAATCTGCTCAGTTCTGTGCATGAAGGAGAGACTTTGGACGTTTGGACTCTTTGATCCTTTAGACTGCCCTGTCTAAAGGATTTTTTTAGAGCAAAAAGCTGGAAAAGAACCTTGAGTATACAACAGAAGAGAAAGTGTTTGGTCTTTGCAAAAACCTTCACACTCGACTGTTTTTCTTTTAGTTTTATCTTTGTTGACTTTTCCCAGTCTACAATGAAAAACGCCTTGGAATTCAACCAGTGCCTAGAAAGTGTATCTGTATAAGTTATGCTATTTTATTTCTATATTCTGCAGTACTAACGTTGAACGACTTCTAACAAAAGAAAAGAAAAAAAAGGTTTGTTGGCTTGTGCACTTAAGGACAACTCAAGCCAGGCTGCCTTTTGTTTACACGCTCATAATACTGTACTAATCCTTTAAAATGCATTGGACTTTGTGTCTAGATATGAAGCAACCCCAGCTCCTTCTTATTCATGAACAACTTTTAGACCATACAAAATCAAATAAAAATATATTATGATCTGGTGTTAAATGGCCCATACAAGCCTCTATTGAGACAGTGGTTGGATTTAGTTTTTTTTTTTTTGGAGGAAAAGCCTTTTTATATTGAGTATGTAAGGAAAATGAGCAGGCCATTCTTTGGAAACCTGCATGCTTCATTTGCTATCTCTCGGACCACATTTTTGTACTGTACCCTGTATTCTTGAAATGAAAATGCAGAACTGTATTTCCTCTCTTGGTTTATGTCATACTGAGAAACTTTTTACGTTGTTCGTTTTTATATAAATGTTTATAATCAATTTTGAGTACTTTATGAACTTTGCTTTGATTTTTCGGATGGTGCAAGCAGGCGGGAATACGGAAGACATCGCCCTGTTACACACCTGGACTAAAAAGGACTTACATGTGAATACAAATGTACCATTCAGAAGCACATTCTGTCTTTTCTTGTACATGAAACGACTCCTGATTTCTTGTCATGATACCAGCTGATATTTTACAGTGATTTAAAAAGTGCAAAGATTGAAAAAGGTTTTGTAAGATGCTGTATTTTTAAAAACGCTTGGCTGTTTTATACCAACATGTTTCTTGTTTTGTTGGAGATTCGGGTTGGGGATTTTCAAAACCCTTTAGTCTCTCGTCTGTGTGGTTCCAACCTCACATGGTATTCTTTCTGTATTATTTCCTCTAAAAGTATTTATTTTAAGGAGCCATCTTGTGAGATTTGAACAGATGGAGATAATGTTTTAATATGTTGATTGAGGAGTGCTTGTCAGTTTCTGAAAACTGAAATAAAGTTCCATATATTATATCTGATCGGTCCTGTATCTTTATTGTACACAGCTCAAACGTCAGATTTATGACCCTGTTTTGGCCTCATTATGATAAACGCCACCTGTAAGGGCTAGAAATAGTAGTGATAAAATATACACCTGTATTGTGGACCAATCAGACTTCAACATGCTGTCTATGTCCTTTTACATACTGAAAGCTGATTGAGGCTGTTCTGTTTGACTGAAAATGCAGATCTTAAAATGTGACAAAATCCATAAATACATGCATGTGGAAACCAGTGATAGACCAAACCATTTTATCTGAGTTACCATAGTTATCTTTTGTGAGGTAAATCAGCTTTAAACTATGTTCATTGGCTCCATATTCAGATTGACTTTAAAGCCATCATGTTTGTCTATAAAACCACTGTTAACTTCATATATTTCTGATTTGCTCGTACCTTATGAACACAGTCTCAGATCTTCAGAACTCGACATTCTGGCCGTTCCTTGTGTACATAGAAGCAGCTTTTGCTCCTTATAAATTAAATGCTAAATGACATCAAGGTCGCTGAGCTCATTTAAGAGTATACTGAAGACTCACTTGGTCGGGCTCTGAGGACCCCTTTATAAAATAAGATTACGGGCTGATTCTCCAAACAAATAAATAATGAAATAAATAAAAACTGTCTTTATTGCAGACTGTTTCTACCTGTTGTGTTGTCATGTTTTGTTACCGTACTTTGTCTTTGTCAGGAACATAGAGCTGCAGTTTATGTATCAAATGTGTTAGATAAATAAATGTCCTTGCTTCTTAAAATTAACAATCACAGACAGATTGACAATGCAACAACAAGCTAAAGATTCCGACAGCGGGTGGCTCGCTTGAAACCAAACAGTTTGTGGCAACGAATGACCACAATTTGTATTTGAGTGTGTTCACAGTAAAGTGTCAATTAAAGTATCTGGATTTTTAAAAGGTAACTCAAAAACTAAAATTGCTATCATAGATTGGAAAAAAAAGATTTCAAACACAGACACATCGAAGAGATAGTGTGGATAAAATCAAAAGGAAAGATTGAGAAATATATTTTTGGCGACATTTTAAACGAAAATACATAGAAAATAAAATGTCCTCAGTTTGAAAAAGCGGCAGATGAAGTCCCACAAGATTAATATGGCGAAGACAACATAAGTAAATCCCTTGATTTAAAAAGGAATTGTTAAATTAAAACAAAATAATAATAATAATAATAATTAAATGACCCTTGATAAATGTGTAATGGATGTGATGGTTTCTGTCAATTTTTATCTAACAATTAAACTTGAGGGGGAAAAAAAATCTGGTTTGGTTTCACATTTAATCAGTTGACTATATGAAAGCATCAATTTGTTTCTACTCTGTGTAAAAAAATCAATAGAATCTCTTGATCAAATGTGGACATCTGAAAATACGTAACAAACTTCCGCAAAGCTCATTCCGTCAAATCATTACGTCCGTTACATTAAAAAAACAGGGCCGCTATAGGAAACTTTTCTAATTTATAAAACACTTATGTTCTAGCATCTTCTATCTATGGGACAGGGGAGGTGTTTGGATACATGAAAAACATAAAATATCTTCTGATTATTTTTGGCCTTTTGTCACACTTTTGTGCCCTTTAGTGTGAACAAGCCCTTTTGGTCATCTCTTTCTGAAACGTTACAGACCACTCGGTTGATCAAGCGCATTGATAAATAGCCAAAGTGTACGTTTTGCAGTAGATGTGCTCCTAACCGTCTCCACAACTGTCTCTATTGTGTCCTTAAACTTTATCATTAATTGGATGAATGGAAAGGAACAGGAAATGTACTTCCGGAATTTGAGATTAACGGATTTTGAAGTGAGCGAGACTGTTGAGCTCTGTACTCACTTCATAAGCACTTTGTGAAACCAAAACGTTGCATAAGCTTTGAGTGAATTTAAAGCCGGGGTATCTAAATTTCAGATCACTAACAATAGAATATGTAATCAAATCCATCTATTAGTTCCTTTCACGATTTGGTGATTTCACTTTAGTTTTCATATTTATTATTGGCCTCTGTCACATCTTAAGATCAGCTTTTTCAGACCGAAAAGCAAACAAGAGAAAGTTTCAGCTAACAGCGTGTGCAAGCATTAAATATTAATTCTCAGGGATCTTTCTTAAAAGTATACAAGAGATAACATGTTTTTTTATAAGATGCAACAGTTTACTTTCACAACACTATTTCTCTTGGAAAAAAGCAGTTAGGTACCTCAGATTAAAAATTGCAAACAGACTCTTCTTCCGTTGTAAATGTTGCTTTTCTGTGATCTCCATTAAAGTCAAATGTGAGCAAAATAAATAATCTTAAACACTTCACTGACCCCATAACCCGAAGATACTTCTAAACTCCTCCAGGTTTCTCACAGTGCAGCTGACCATCTGACACATGCATTAAAGTAGGGAACTATACATCTGCAGACTGAAGTGAAGGAGCAGAAGGGAAGACACACTTTGAAGCGGAGCCAGCGTTATCCACGGCTCATGATTTGCATGTTCTCTTGAGCAGGATTTAGGAAGCAGGAAAATGAGCTTTTAACGTCAAAGTAACAGAGAGCTCCCTGAGGATGACAGCTCTGTTTTCTGTTCAAGGCTTTCAGTTAGACACACATTCAAGAAATATTGCCTTTATAATATCTCAATGTAAAAATGAAGACAGCTTAATCCAAACTATGATTAAAAGGTATATGTTTTGCAGTGGTTTAGCAACTGCCTCGAGACAGGGCCCTGCTGGGTGGAGTTTGCATCTTCTCCCCCTGTCTGTGTAGGTTGCTCCTGGGTGCTACCACTAAAAATATCCGTCATCACTGTGTGTGGAGGGAATGGAAAATGTCAGTACTCCAAAAGCATTCATTGTATAGAGCTTTGTGCGACCTTGGTATGTGACATGCACTATATGTGTACACACACAACATAAGACTAAACCCAAGAAGATCCAGTGTTGCTCTGAATGGAGTGAAAGAATGGTGACATGTGAAGTGTCTTTGAGTGTCCTGAAAAGCACGATATAAAATGATGCATTATTATCAGGCCCGAGCCCCGAACGGGTAAAAGGGCCTATTGTTTTTGCTCGAGAGATGTCAAATTCTGCACGTTGAGCCTTAATTTCACCCCCTGAACATGCATGAAAAGTTGTAAAATGTTGCCCAAAAATCAGACCTGGTGAAAAATTTGATATTTTGGTGTTTATTTTTATGGGACTCAAAAAATGCCAGAACAGCGCCACCTACAACAGCCAATGGGAGGTCAAGTTTGTCGTATAGAGCCATGAAATCCGGTACACATGTTCCTCAAGTCAAGATACGACCAAAATGTTATCATGGCCCCGCCCTCTGACAAACAGGAGGCCCATAAATTTCACTGCAAAATGGAAAATGATCCGCAATAATTTTCATACATGTCGGTTGGAAATCTTCTCCTCCTCGGCCGTTTCACCGATTTGCCTCAAAATCGCTCCACATCATCTTCAAAATAACCAAAGGGATTTTTGATCAGTGAAACGTTGTTTGAGCAGCGGAGTGGCAAAATGTGAGTGTTTTTTGGCCGTTTTTGACAACATTAATTTTGCTCTCGTTTGCACATACAAAGTCTGATTTGCACAAAACTTGAATCCAATGTTCAACTCCAGGGTTTAGGTCAGGTGAAAGTGAAATATTTGAA